GAGGGGGGGAGGGGGGGAGGGATCGTTGTCCTGGCCTCAGGCGAGGGCGAAGGGCGGTCAGGTGGGGTGCCTTTGATGTGCCGGATGTCCAGCGGAGGCAGTGGGTGTGGATGTGTGGGTGGAGGTGCACCCCCGGGTCCGTGGTCGCCTCGGCCGCACCGCCGCCCCCCCGCCAACCCTGCACGCATTCGGACCTGAGCCTTGCCACCTGGGCCCCGCGAAGAGGAGGTAGACCCGCGCGGCTAGTCACACAGGGGCCCTGCGACCCGGGCGTCGGCTCCGGGGCCCTCGGTGCGTTTGTCAGCCGCCGCGGCCGGGCGGCAGACCGAACACAATCGGCATGCACGGGGCCCGCAAGGGGCACACCTTCCCCCTTCGCACGGCAGCCGGGGCGCTCATCGGGCAAACATGCAGCGAAACAATATACAATGGGCTGCCTGAGTGTGCGCGCGCGCGCGCGTGGGTGCGGAGGCACCCTCCGGGCGGGCGGGCGGGCTCCCGTGGGAGCAGCCCGCCCGACACAATACCCGGCGACATGGTGCGCTGCCAAATTCAGGACCGAGGAAACGTGGGGCGAGCGCGCGGGCGTGCGCGCGCGGGCGCGCATGTGCGCCCAGCCAGACGCCCAAGGCCGGCCTTGATCGCTGGATGGACGCCCCCGGAACCAGATCGACACCTGGGCCCCGAGGGCAAGGGCCAAGGGGGGGGGGGGGATTCGGTAAACAACAGAGGGTGCCCCCCCCCCCCCCGCCGAGAGGCAATACATGCTGTTGCCCGCGGGTGTCCCAGAACCGGGCGACACGGGCAGGATCCTCCACGCAGTCGCACGTCCCGATCGCCCGCACTCAGGTCTGGGCACCACGGCCCCGAAGTCCCCTCGCCAAAGCGCCATCCCCCCCCTGGCCCCCTCGGTCACCGAAGGCGACGAAGACACGCGGGCAGGAGCCGTGGTCGAATGTCGCCGCCCTGGCGCCTAAGGTCGACGATGGGCGGGGGGGGGGGGGGGAGGGGGCGATCGAGTGGGGTACGGGCGGAAGGGTGCCCGCCCAGTCAAAGAGGAATCAAGCTGTGGACACCGCCCCGGGGCTGTCTCGCCTCCGCTGACACGCCGAGTGTCGGGGTGGGTGCTTGCCCTCCCCCGCCCTCCCTGGGTGTCTCTCGCTCTCGCTCTCGCTCTCGCGCGCGCCAATCGAGGGGGGAGGGTGGCGCCGGATCCATGGGAAATAATGCCGCAGGTGGGCCCGCGGCTCGCCGCCTGCGCCGCCGGGAACCTGCAAGGCGCCTCACACCGCACGACATGCACCGAAGGGCCTCCACCGGGCGCCGAGGGGGGAGACGAGGCTGACAATCGGCCGCGCAGTCGGACAGAACAACCGCATGCTAGGGAGCCCCGCCGCCCCTGGGCGTCATTGACCCGACCCAACATGGGCCAGCTCCGGCCCGGCTGGGCCCACCCGCCGCCTCGCCCCCCCCCCCCCCCGGCAGGCCCCCCACGCAGCCGAGCCAGTGGAGGGTGCGCAGGGCAAGGCACTGAAACGGCGCGGGCGAGTATTCCGGCGGGGGGGGGGAGGGGCGGGGGAGAGCAAATGGAGGCAGGTACACTGCACAGAGGATGATCGCCCTGGACTGATGTGTCTGCGTGCACGACGCCCGGCCCCCGGCCCACCCCCCCCGCCCGGAAGTGGGCAGGGAGGCCGACCGGTTCGGCGGGTGGACGTTCGCCATCCGTGTGGGGTCCGGCTCGGGCGCGCGTTGTTTTCGGCATCCTCCGGAACAGGCCCCCGGGAGGGGCATTCGCCAGACGACATGACTCGCGCCGTTGCAGCCCCTCCCCCCCCCCCCCCCCCCTCCCCGCCGGTGGCACCGGGGCAGGGGCCTCGCGGACCATGCCGGGAGCTTTGCCCCGGTGTGACCGGGGGCCCGCCGCCCCGGACCCACACGCCCGACACATGCGCTCGCACGCGCGCGTATACATGTGTGAGCACGTGGGGGGGGGGGCCCGGCCCCCCGCTGTCCCGGCCCCCCCCCCCGCCCCGGGGGGGGGGGGGGGGAGAACGAGGGGGAGCGAGGGGCGCGCGGCCGTGCCCTGATCGCAAGTGTGCGGCCCTCCGGCGGCCCCCAGCCGGATCCACCTCGCTGCCTCGGCCTGCCGGCCGGCCCGGCGCGCCTCCTCTCGCGGCTTCCAGCACACGGCCACCACACAGGGGGCGTGGTTGCTCAGGCCGCGAGGCCACGGCGGCAATGCTGCCGAAAGGGAAGAAAAGCCCCCGCGGCGCGCCGGCCCTCGCTCAGCCCATGGCCCCCATTCCCCCGGCCTCTCCCTCTCTCTCTCTCATTCTCGCGCGCGCGCGCCCTTTCTCGCCCTCGCCAGCCGGAGCAGTTGGCGGTCGGCCCTCAGACACCATACGCAGGGGTAGAGGGCGCATCCCCCCCTCCCCCCCCCCCCCTGAGGCCGTACTGGAGGTGTACGACACTTGAGGGTGCCGCTCGGTCTCCCCCCCCCCCTACCCAGAGTCGGACCTTTTTCGGCGAACAGAGGCCTTATGATTCATCGCAGAGGCTCGGACCAGAGGGAGGATCCGGGCTCGGTGCACGGCCGGCCCGGATGGGCCCTCCAGAGCCGGAGAATCCGGCCAGATCGGCGCGAGCGAGGCGGGGGGATGAGAGACCGGGCGAAAAGGCCCCCCCGCCCCCCCTCCCCGCACCAGCGCGTGCCTCCGAAATCCGGGGAGAAATGCACACAAACAGGCGGGATTAAATATGGGCCTTTTGTCCGGTTTTCCAATCCCCCGCCCCCGTTCCTGGTGTGTGCTGCGGTTGGGGCCGGCCGGCATGTCGCCCGGGGAAACAAACAGGCCGCAACTTCCTTAGCCGGGGGGGGGGGGCAGACCGGTTGCCGTCGGAAGCGGAGAATGACCGCCGCCAAGGGGACCCCCCCGCGGCCGGAGCCCGAGCGCGCCGGGCCCCGGGGCTCACACGGCCGACGGTCCTGGGCCGGCTAATCTGAGTGCCCAGCGTGCTGGAGGAATCCGCCCCGAACACTTGGGTGCTGTTGCCAGGGGACCCACTTTGGCGGGGGGGGGGGGGGGGGGGGGGGGCAGTCGTCCAGCGCCCGGCGAGCCGTCTCGCCCATGACCGCACGCCCTTTTCTTGCCGGCAGAGCCTCCCTCGCGCCGGATGCTCGGTCTAGGCTCCCAACTCGGGCGATTGACCGCCAGTCAATCCGACATTCCCCTGTGGCCGGCCGGGAGTCCGGGAGGGGGGGGGGGGGCCGCGCACGGGAGCGCGGGGGGTCTGCTTCCCCCCCTTGCGGGGAGGCTCTCGCGGCCATTCTTCCGCGGACGGGTTCCCGGTGCGTGGATGGCTCACCACCTTGTCTCGGGGCCCGAGGCCTCGGCGCAAGACAACACAACTTGCCTTGCCCGAACCAAGCCGATGCCGATGTCCATGCCTCCTCCCAGCCCCGGCAAAGGGGCCACAACGCCAGGAGCGGCCCTGACGACCGCGGGCCGTGCACACGCATGCCCACATGCACTCCCCGCCGTGCGCTTGCCGTGTTTCCCCAAGGGGGCAAGCGAGCGCGCCACAGAGCGAGAGAGAGAGAGAAGCCCCAAGCATGAAGGATGGCTGCAGGCAAGGGCCCCCGCCCCCCCGGCGGCCTCCCCGGCCGGTCTCGACCGGAGACGCCTCACGTACCCTGAGGGAAGAATGCGGCCAGCCGGCGTGCCCGTCCCCCCGTTGGAGATGCCCCCCGCCCCGCCCCCTTCATTACATGCGGGGACTCGCCTGGCCAGCGCGGCGGGCGTCCTGCCGCCCCAACCCCCCCCCTCCCCCCTCCCCCCGCCCGAAGCAATGGGCCGTTGTGTCCTTCTCACTGGCTTCCCCCTGCACCCCCCTGTGTCTTCTTTTCCGATCGCCGCTTATTGAGCCCCTAAGTCTGCCATGCTGCCAGCCATGACATATATCATCCCGGTGCCCCCTAGCGGATTCCGCCCCCCGCCCCCTGCACAGCAAGCGCCCACCTCCCCTCATCTTTCCTGGGCCCTCGTTGGAAAAGTGTGCACGCGCACACATACACATTAACGAGCTCTCTCTCGTGCACATGCGTGCCTGGACCCGGGGCCGCGCATCCCCCTGGACATTGGAGCTGCCTCCCCCGGGCCTGTCCCTCTCTTCGGGCCCCTTTCGACTTCGTGTGCCGCCCTCTCTCTCTCTCTCCCTCTGTGTGCCCCACACGGCCTGGGGCACGGCGCCACAAATCCCCCCCCGAACCGGAGGAGCGACACCCACATCCACCCGCCGAGGGGCATGTTCATGCCACCGCCGCCGGCGACGTGTCAGCGCGTCCTGGGCCCCGCTGCCGCCGCCGCGCCGCCGCCGCCGCCGCCGCCGCCGGGGCCCGGGTTTGACAATGGTGGCATACCGCGCCGAGACCATGTTTCTGACCGGGCCTCGCGCCGGGGGGAGAGTTCCCTCGAAGCTGGGACGCCTTTGTCCGCCACCACGCAGGCCGGGGCGAACTTGGGCTGGTGCTTTACCACGGACCACGCCGCGGCGGTCGCCCCCAGCGCTGGCCCTTCCTTCCGGATGTCCCACGCGCCCTCGACCCGCCACCGTCGCCGTCCGGCGGACGGCCCGGCGTACGAGCCATCTTGTCACTCCAGGCAGCCATTCTCCGAGACAAGCAGCAGGCGCTGCAGTTGGCCCCCGAGACAGGCGGATCACATGCTCACATGTTACTCATACCACCACAGCGTTGGCAGAGGCAGACACCTGCGCCCGGCCCGCGCTCGCTTTCAGGTCCGAGCTGCGTGCGCCCCAAAGCTCCCAGAACCATATCGATCCCCATTGGCACGTCTGGTTGCCCCACTATCAGGATATCAATATGTAGCACGGGCACGCTGAAGTCGTTCCACCCCCGGGCTCTATTCGGCTAGTGTGAGCATGGCCCCTCGTTCCCTCCTCCCTCCGGCGCTTGGCTGGTCCCATGGAAGGGGCCGGGCTTAGTCCGAGCCCTGTCCCCCCCCCCCCCTAGCAAGTCGCTCCGGGCAGCGCCGGACCGACGCTCCAGACGAGACCCAGTGAGAGAGGAGGGCCGAGGGGGGGGGGGGGAGAGAGGGGCGGGGCCTCGAGAACGCGCCCCCGATATACATACCTCCCCCCCGCAGCCACCTTAGCTTTCCCGTGTCAGGGGCGGGCTGGGCTTCCGACCGGGCCCACGCGCCCCGTTTGCACACGCGCATACTCGCGTCCTCGCTCATTCCTCGCAGGCATACCGTGTGTCCTTGCGCGTGTGCCGGTGTCTTCCTGCGCATGAGAGCGCGCACGCGCGCGCGCGCGTGTGTGTGCGCGTGTCTCCCCGTCCCTCTTCCCTCTGCCCCCCCCCCCTGTAACAAACCCTTTTGTTCAGGATTAACTAAAAAATACCCGCTCGTGGGACCCGCTGAAGCCCGTCCAGCGCTCCGACACCTTCTCATCGACCCCTCTCTTCACCCTCCCCTGCCCGTCCTGCCCCCTCTGTCTGCCCCTCGCACTTTGCGATTGTTGCCCCGCCCCCCCCCCCTCCCACCTACACATTTGCCCCCCCCCGCCCCTCCGGTCCCCACACCCGGTCACGCAGTGTGCCACCTCGAAGGGAGAGCCGAGAGAAGCAGCTCCTCCTCCGAATCGTGTGCGTCCTTCTTCGCCAGCCGGCGCTCCCCGACTGCCAAGCCCCTTTCACCACCCTGGCACCGTTCCTCCCACTCTCTCCCTCACACACACACACAAAGATAGACCATGTCCTCGATTCAGCGTATTATCAGCGCCCTGAGCGCCATGACCGATGTTGGCTCCGTCAATGATGGTTCGTTTCCTGGGCCGCCGCCGCCCTTTGATGTTCCCTTTCCGCGGTCTCCCCCCCCCCCCCCCTGCCGGCGAGCTCACACACCTGCCTTGGTCGTCTGCACCCCCATTCAGCCGAGCTATTCTTCAGGACGGCCGCCTCGATTCCCGGCTACGCGCCGATCCTCCTGTCGTTGGCCATCGGCGACACGATGGATGCGTCCATCTCCTCCATCGAGCCGGCTGTCTCCCTCTCGGCGGCCCTGATGCTCAAGAACTTCTTGGCCATCGCCTGGACCTCGGCCACTGTACGCCCATTTCCCGGCCTCCCCCCTGCTTCTCTCTCCCTCCTTTCGCCCACCACCACACCCGGCCACTCACTCACTCACCCACTTGCGGTCCCTTTCGCATCCCAGAACCCCGACAGGCTGCCATTCCCGGCCGGCGACCGCATTGCCATCCGCGAGCGCATTGTCCCCGCGCTGTTCTCCTGCTCGTCGACTCCCCAGCGCAACCTGCTGCTCACTTGCCTTGCGACCATCTCCAATTCCCAGTACCCCTCCAAGTGGCCCGAGCTGCTGGGACTCCTGCTGTCCGAGGTGGACACCTCCAACCCGGCCAAAATCAACACCGTGCTCCAGGCCCTGAACACTGTGCTCAAGCGGTGCGCAGGCTCTCCACATCTGCACGCGCCCGTTTTCGACTCCTCTCCTTTCTCTTCCTCCTTTCGTATCTCACTCTCGCCCCGCGCCCTCTTCTCTCTCTCTCTCTCTCTCTCTCTCTCTCTCTCTCCCCCCCCCCCATGTCGATCTAGCTTCAAGAGCCACAATCGCACTGAGCGACTCGTGGCGGACCTGCTCCAGGCCTCGGCCGAGCTGAAGGACGTCCTTCCCCAATTCGCCGAGGTGATCGGGTCGCATATCACCACAGGCGCCGATGACCAGACCCTGGCCATCTCCTTCCATAGCTTGTCGCTCCTGTGCGAGATCATCACTTCCCTCTGCTACCTGGACCTGCCGGATGACATCGAGGTCAACATGCCGCGGGTGTTCGCCGTCCTGCGGGCCGTCTTGCACTTCCATCCCCAGGGGAGGACCTACCCCGAGGATGAGGAGGACCCTTACGCCAACCCGCCGGCTTACTTCCGGCTGTCGCTGTGTGCTCTGATCGACCTTTTCACCAATTCCTACCACGAGTACTTCGAGAAGGAGCTGCCCTCCTTCTTCGACAGCATCTTCCACCTGCTGGTGGGCTTTGCCGAGAGCTCCACCTATGATCGGGTATGTGGGCAGTCAGATCCCGCGCGCCGCTCCGGCCCACCCCCGGCCCATCCTCCACCCAAAGCCCATACTCACCCATTCGTTTGTAGTTTGTCGCCGCCGCCATCCGGTACACTTGTACCGTGGTTTCCAAGCCCGCCTACGCCACCACCGTGTGCACCCCCCCGGGGTTGACCCTCCTGGCCAGCAAGATCATCCTCCCCAGCTTGCAGCTGCGCGACAGTGACGAGGAGGTCTTCGAAGATACCCCGATGGATTATGTGCGCCACGAGCTGGAGGGCCACGACGCGGCCACCCCCCGGAGTACGGCCGGCCGGCTCATCAACGCCCTGGCCACCCGGTACCGGGAGTCCTTCACGCAAATTTGCATCGGCCTCGCCCGGGACCAGCTCACCAGCCAGCCCCTGGGCCCCGACAGTTGGCGCGCCATGGAGGCCGCCCTGACCCTGGTGCACAGCGTCGCCTCGGCCGGCGGTGTCACCCTGCGTGATGGCGTGGTGGCCACCAATGAGTTCCTCAGTCCGGACGATGCGTTTGCCATCTTCGAGACCCCGCTCACCAGTCCGGACTTCGCGCACTTCCCCTTCCTGGTTGCTCGGTCGCTGTACTTCCTGGTGATGTTCCGCAATCACCTCAGCACCGAGATCGTGCTCAAGACCATGCCCTACCTGGTGGGGCTGCTGGCCTCGCCGAACCAGGTTCTCCACACCTTCGCCGCGGTGGCCGTCGGCCAGTACTTCGCTCGGCATCGGGTGACCCTGGCCCACTCGGTGGCGCTGGAGCTGCTGGAGCCCCTGTTCGCCGGGATGTTCAGCATTTTCATGCGCAATGGCACGGCCCCGCTCCGGGTGTCGGAGAACAATTATGCCATGCTGGCCGTCGTTCGGACGCTGCTCTTCTACCGGCCGGTGCTGGTGGCCGCGCCGCGTATCTTCGTCTCGGCCTATGTGGAGCTCCTCGGGGTGCTGTCCATCATCTGCACCAATCCCAGCAATCCGCGCCTGTCGCATTGCCTCTTCGAGGCCATCGGTGCCCTGAGCCGGCCGCTTCCGACCCACTCGCCCGCCCTGCCGGGGTTCCTGGCCTCCACCGGGCAGACGCCGGCCGAGCTGCCGGCCCGGGTGCTGGAGCTGCATGCCGGCTTTGAGCGGGCCCTCCTGCCGGTCATGGGGGAGATTCTCAAGGCCGGTGTGGCCGAGTTCATCCCGTACTCCTTCCAGATCATTGCCCTGATGCTGGAGTCCAATCCGTCGGTGCTCCAAGCCGCCGGGGCTGCCCCGGGGGCCGCGCCATCGCTCAATCAGTTCTACCTGGACATCCTGCCGTCGCTCTTTGTGCCGGTTCTCTGGGAGGTGTCGGCCAACATTTCGGCCATCGCGCGGCTTTTCTGCGCATACCTGCGCTGCGTGCCGGAGGAGTTCGTTTCGCGCAATCTCCTTCCTCCCCTGATGGACATTCTCAAGCGCATGATCGGCACCCGGGCCTTTGAGCGTGACGCCTGCCAGCTGGCCGAGTCGCTGTTGGTGTACCTGCCTGCGTGCGTGTCCCGCTTTTGTCTCGTTCCTTCTCCTTCTCCTTCGGCCCCTCTCTCTCTATCTCTCTGTCTCTTTGTGTATTTGGCTTACACCTCTTTCCTCACCTCACACATCCTTGCCGCCTTCGCTGTTCTACCATCGTGTGACCCATGCGACTGTCTCTCGGCCCGGCCTCTCGCGCTGCTGGGCATCCCCCTCGCCTTCTCTTTGTTTGTCTCCCCCTCGCTCTCCATCCTCGGGCCTTCTTTTGGTCGTCTCTTTCAGTCCGGCATTCACGCAATTCGCGCCGACCGTGCTCCTCATCCTGCTGGAGCGCATCCAGTCCAACAAGACCCCGGTTTTCGTGCGCCTCTTTGGCGGGGTGGTTTCGCGTTTCATCGTGGCCAAGCCCGACTCCTTCCAGGTCATTGTGTCGGCCTTCAATACGATCCAGCCCAAGTGCGTTCTTCCCGCCTGCCCCCCCTCCTCGCTGCCTCTCCCGCCCGGCCCTGCCCCATGCTTTGGCTTCCCATCCCCTGCTCCGGGTGCCTTGCTGCCGCCTCGCCGCGCTCTGACGCCCATGCGAACACGCGTCAATCAGCCTCTTCTACATGGTCCTCAACTCGGTCCTCCTTGCTGAGGAGGCCAGCGCCGGGCTGCCCATCGATCGGAAGGTGGCTGCCGTGGCCCTTGCCTACCTGATCGCCCGGAGCCCGCTCTTTTTCGAGCCCACCTACGCCGAGCGCCTGCCCCACACGGTGCAGGCCATCTTCACGCTGGGCGACCGGCCTGCCACCACGACCGACGACTATTCCGCCTCGCAGGACTTCGAGTCTGCCTTCCTCAACTCCACGGTCGCCAGCGGCGAGGGGACGACCGGCTCCTTCAGCGCGGTGCGTGTCACACATGCCCCTTTTGTGAAGGCGCATCTGCGTGGACTTTTTTTTCCCCGCTGACCCCCCCGGCCTTCCCTCGCTCCTACCCATGCACCTCGTCCCCCTCCCCGCCCCCCCCCCTGCGGGGGTCTGTCGGCCTTGATGCGTACCCAGCTGTCCACCGTGACCCCCACCAAGGAGGACCCCCTGCCCAAGGTCCAAGACGTGCAGAGCCTCCTGGTGGGCGAGCTGACCGACGCCTGCCAAAAGAACCCTCAGTATCGCCAGCTGTTGCAGGGGCTCTCTACGGTGTCCCCGAACATGGTTCCGGATGCCGGGAAGATTGCCTCCCTCGCTGGTCTCGTCCTCTCGCGTGTCTGATCGGGACACTGCCCCGGTCTTTCTCCCTCCCCCGCCCCTCTCTTCCCTGACCTTGTCCCCCATTTATATTCTCATATATTATACATATATCGATCACATCCCTAGACTCCCCGTGGGATTGCCACCAGGCCCCGCTGTTTGTGTATTTGGCTCGCGCACGGTGGTGTCCTTCGGCTTCTCCAGTGGAAATATACCTTTTTCTCCCGCGGAGAGCTTCCTCCCCGATGCCCGAGGGGAACCACCCCCGGCAGAGGGAGATCCCTGCCACGGGCAAGCAGCGGGGCAGGGGCCACCACGCCTCGGGGCGGGGGAGGGAGGTCGCAACACAACCCCCGGACCAGGCACGGAATGGACACTGGCGGCCTCCGAACAAAGGGGGGGGGGCCCAACGGCGGGCCGGCCGCGGCACCCGAGGTACCAACGGACAGGGCATTTGAAAACAGCCGGAACCCCCGGAGCCGGTGGTTCCTGGATGAAGGGGGGGCGGGCGGTTGCGGGCGGCGAGCGGAGGCCGCCCAGCCTTCACACACCCTGGGATCCCGGGGCGAGATCCCGGTTTCCAGCCAGCACGGGTTAGCGCGCGTCCGGGAGGGCATTTTTCCCGCCCAACCGCTTGCCGGGATGCGTGTCCGGGGGGTTGGGCCGGTGCGCGCCCCCGGGCCGGAGGGCGAGCACATCCGCTGCTGGCGTAAAGGAGCCCAGTAGCCCGGGGGCGGGCAAACTAGTGTCGGGTGTGAGAGACTGTCTTTGGCGTCTTGCCCGTTGGCCGCCCTTCCCGCCCGCCCGCCCGCCTGCCTACCCCCCTTCCAGGGCTCCTCCTGCTTCTGGCCGAGAAGTCCGGGGGCCCCCAAGCGCAGCTGGCTCCCTGGCGCTCGGGCCCCGGGGGAAGTGTGTCCTGTGTTTTGATTCGGTCATGGCCGCTTTTTTAAGGGCACCAGGGCTGGCTCCCCCCCTCCCGGCAGGGATCTTGGCATCATTTCTGTCCTTCTCCCGACTGATAGAACTTTCTTTGCTTTCTGTTCGTACAGCTCTGCTTCTGCCCGTCTCGGTCATTGTTCTGCCCTTCGCACGCTATGCATGCCCTCGCTCAGTTCCCTGTGTTTGCGCATACATGCGCGCTCACACGTCTATCTTACCCACCCACATCCACACCCACACCCACATACGCTCCTCCCCCCCCCCACCCCCCTGCTTTTCACTTGCCTAGCCTCTCGACACCATGGCCAGCCTCAACACCCTGCACAACTCTGACATGCCCCAGGACGGCGAGGGGCGTATCTACCACCTCGGCTGCAAGCCTGGCGATGGTGCGTGCGCGCGTCACTTTCGCCCATTGTTTCGATCTCATGCCCCCTCCTCCCCACCCCCCCCCCCCCCCCCCCCCCCCCCCCCCCCCCCCCCCCGCGCGCGTTTCTCACCCGCCGTCCCTGCCTGGTCCAGTTTCCCACCGCATCCTGTCCGTCGGTGACCCGGCTCGCGCCAAGCTCATCGCCGAGGCCTACCTCGACCCGGCCACCGTCCGGACGGTCTTCTCCAACCGCGGCTTCCACACCTACACCGGGATGTACAATGGTGTTGAGCTGAGCATCATCTCGATTGGCATGGTGCGCCTGCCTCGCGTGCTTCATCGATGCCCTTTACGCCCGTCATGCCGCGCCATCCATCCTGCCCTGCTGTGCGGCCGTCACTCACTCCTTCCCTTCGCCCCCTAGGGTCGGCCCATGATGGACTTCATGATTCGCGAGGCCCGCGCTGTTGTCAACGGCCCGATGGTCATCATCCGGTTCGTTTGGCTCCCATTCCACCCTTTGGGGCTCCCCTGGTCCCCCTGTTTTCTTCGCACCAGCACGCTGACCACTTTGCTCTCTCTCTCTCTCTCTCTCTCTCTCTCTCTCCCTCCCTCTCGCTCCATCCTCTTACGCTTCACACAGTCTGGGTTCGGCTGGGTCGATTGTCACCGATGTCGACCCCGGCACCGTGGTTGTCAACTCCGAGGGCAGCTCTCTGGTTTGCCAGGGCGTCGATGCTGACGGCCAGTTTACCTACTCCTTCTCCCCGCTTGAGATGCCGCACAAGGGCCTCTCGGATCTGGTTCGTCGGTGCACGCTCCCTGGGCCCTTTTTCCTCCCTGCGATCCGTGCTGACCTTGCTTCCCTTTTCCCTCCCCCCCCCCCCCCCCCCCCGCCTTACCAGCTCGTCAAGGAGATGACCAGCTGCCTGTCCACCGGCTCCGTGAAGCCGGCCTGTGACCTGACCGCCGATTCGTTCTACTCCTCGCAGGGCCGGCCGTCGGCCAACTTCGCCGATGCCAACGCCGGGCTGCTGGACAAGATGGCCGCCGCCTTCCCGAATGTCGGGTCCCTGCAGATGGAGACTTACCAGCTCTTCCGCCTGGCCAACATCTGCCTGCCCGCCGAGGGGGAGGCCAACCGCATTGACACTTCTGCGGCGGCCATCATCCTCTTCAACCGCCTCACCGGCCAGGGCGTCAGCGCCGACCTTCGCCGCCAGCTTGAGCTGGAGGCCGGCCGTGCCTGCCTGCAGGCCCTGGCCAACCACACTTTCTAAAGGTGCAAGTGCGCGTGCGCGTGCGCGTGTACGGGTATTCATAAACACATGTCTACACACACACACACACACACACACACGCTCGCCCCGGGGAGCGATGCTTGATGGCGTGCTTCGCGTGATTTGCCGGCGCTCGAGGCGCGGCCACAGGCAGGGGAGTGTGCGCCCATCCCTTCGCCATGCTCCGCACCAGTCCCAACCTGCGGGCAATCTCTCTGTATGGTGCCTCCCCTGTGTCTCCTTCTCTGAGCCCTCGACGCGGCACCTCGAGCAGCGCCGTCGTCATCGTCATCGTTATCGTCGTCGTCGTCGTCGCCGCCGCCGCCGCCGCCGCCATGGCACCAATATAGCACGCAATGGTAGTGATATTTGTTTGCTTGCTTGTTTGATGGCCCTTCTCCCCGCCGCACGTACGGCCGCTCAGATGACGGGCAGCTCAGCACTGCTCCAGCCATTCGGCGTAGTCGGCTGACGAAGTGGCCGTTTGGTAGCGGGTGATCACCACCGACAGGGCGGCCGATGGGTGCTCATATGCTTCGAGGAAGTCGGCCAGCCGAAGCCCGGCCTTATCCACCAGATAGTCGAAGGTGTCATCATGGGAGAAGCCTGATCGTACGGAGGTCAGCCTGAAGAAAGCGGTGTGTGTGTGTGTGTGTGTGTGTGTGTGTGTGTGTGTGGCAGTGTGTGGCAGTGTGTGGCAGTGTATGGCCGTGTGTGGTCGTGTGTGGCCGTGTGCGGCAGCGAAGATGGTGCAAGGGCGAGAGGAAGCAGAGGCCGGTGGTGGAGTCTCCCGCCTGCCCTGTTTGGCCGGGCGCACCATGGTCCACCATCACACTCGGCAAGAAGGTTGCCCCGGCCACGCGGCGCCCATGCCGGAGGAACTCAATCTCAATACCGTGGGTGCCGATTTGCCAGTCGTTTTTGTCGGTGATAGGCTCGAAGCTGTGCAGGATGGACACCGTGGCCCGGAGGAGCGGCACCTCAGCCAAGGTGACCGGCGGGAAGCGCGTGTCACGCACGGCGCTGAGGAGGTGTCGGGCGGGGGCCAAAGGAGAAAGAGGGAGAAAGAGAAGAGCGAGGCAGCCGAGGGGTCAGAGGGGTAGGGGCGCTGGCAATCGTCCGAGACATCGGCGCTGGCAGAAAAACGCACGAGCCAATGGCCAGCTGGCGGATGAGCGGACCCACGGGGTTCGGCTGGAAGGTCCCGGTGCAACCGCGCAAAGCGGCCCGCGCCCAGCCTCCATGGCGAGCGACGGGCTTAGGCAGCTCCCCCGGAGCCGGCGAAGCGACGGCGCCCTCGGGCGTGCACTTCTCCCAAGTCAGGAAGGCAGCGCTGAGGGTGGAGCGGTGTCGCCGGGTCGAAGGAATACCGAGAGGAGGAGAAGGAGGAGGGAAGGGGGAGGGGGGAGGGCGAATGCAGGGAAAGAGGCCACAGGAGGGGGCCCGTTAGTCGCGACATGGCTCGCTACATGTGCCTGGGCATGATGGACATCTTTCCGTGTCTCGGCGACGCACCAAGAGACATCCTCCAGCTCGGGCAGCACGCGCCGGGCTTGCGAGCGTGCCGCCACGCCCAGGTGGTTGAGTAGGTGGTCGAAGGACAGCAGCGCCAGGCTGCGGATCTGTCCCGAGGAGAGGGGCCGCGAGGAGGAGGGCATGGCTGGGAGAGGGGGGGGGGGGGGCAAAGACACGAGAAAGCGAAAGGAGTCGACGGGGAGGCAGCGAGTGCATGCCGCGAGGGAATCCACCTCGCAAGCGGCGGACTCCCAGTTCAGGGGATGCTGGACGCACGCCACTGGGGTGCGCGATCTCGCACGGGCTCGCGCTCACATTCGCGGGATGCCTTCTCTCTAGGGCCGGCTGCCCCGCGGGCGTTTGTCGCGTCACAGGAGGAACAAGAAAAGGGAGGCCCGAAATGCCCACCCAGT